TTAGTAGGTTTATTTAATACCCAGCACCAGAAAAGAAGATTTTCAAAGAAATAATGCATTTTCACTATATACTTATTTGGCCCCGCCCTAGCACTAGAACCCATGACCCCGGGGCCATGAATTTCACAAATTTTGGTAGAGGACTCAATGCTGATTACAATCATGCAAACAGTTTGACTGCCATATGTCCAGGAGTAAAGAAGAAGATTTTTAAAGATTGCACTAATTTTAGTGGTTTTTGCCCCACCCCCCAGGCCCCAGGGGGGCAGGGACCATGAAATTCACAATTTTTGTTCCCCTTTACCCATAGATGCTATATGCCAAATTTGGTTGAAATAGGGTCTGTGGTTTAAGAGGAGAAGCTGAAAATGTTCAAATGTTAACGCACGACGAACGACAAACGACGGACGACGAACGACGATGGACGAAAAGTGATAGCAATAGGTCACCTGAGTTTACTCAGGTGACCTAAAAATATAGGTCAGATCCAGCATCCGAAGCAAGTCTGGTAGTGTCCATCCCTAGATGCATCATCCATGAAAGTTTGGTTCAGGTAGGGCTTATAGTTACTTGGGAATGAAAATATAGGTCAGATCCAGCATCCGAAGCAAGTCTGGTAGTGTTCATCCCTAGATGCATCATCCATGAAAGTTTGGTTCAGGTAGGACTTATAGTTACTTGGGAATGAAAATATAGGTCAGATCCAGCATCCGAAGCAAGTCTAGTAGTGTCCATCCCTAGATGCATCATCCATGCAAGTTTGGTCCAAGTAGGGCTTACAGTTCCTTAGGAATGGACCTGCTCTAAAAACTTTAACCTGGTCACTCATCTGGAAAATGTAGGTCACATCCAGCATCCGAAGCAAGTCTGGTAGTGTCCATCCCTAGATGCATCATCCATGCAAGTTTGGTCCAAGTAGGGCTTATAGTTCCTGTGGAATGGACCTGCTCAAAAAACTTTAACCTGATCACTCATCTGGAAAATGTAGGTCAGATCCAGCATCCGAAGCAAGTCTGGTATTGTCCATCTTTAGATGCATCATCCATGCGAGTTTGGTCCAAGTAGGGCTTATAGTTCCTTAGGAATGGACCTGCTCCAAAAACTTTAACCTGGTCACTCATCTAAAAATGTAGGTCTGATCCAGCATCCGAATCAAGTCTGGTAGTGTCCATCCCTAGATGAACCATAGCTCTCATCAATATCTATCAGCATATGAAGTTTGATGAAAATATCTTGGATAGTTTCTTTGAAACTTAGCTTTGAACAGAGCTAAACGCAAAGTGTGACGGAAGACGGAAGGACGGAAAGACGGAAGGATGGAAGACGGACATGACAAACACTATATGCCCCGGCCATATTCATGGCGGGGCATAAAAATAAACATTCAAAGAAATTTACCAGTCCTGGCATGCCTGAGTAACGTTTCTGTGAAAAAAGGGTGCTTGCTTTTATAGGTCATGATTAGTACAGTTCATTACAAAATGTGTTTAAAAAAAAATACAGTCAACTCTTATTATCTCAAACTTGATAGGATCCACAAAAAATTCTAGATATCAGAGTATGTGAGATATCAGAAGGTAAAAAAGTTAAAATTATTAAGTTATTGAGACTTCCAAATCACTTTGACGTTATATCCATGGTATTCAAGATATCAATTTTTGAGATATCAAAGTTCAACTGTATTTTTAAAAGTGATGTGACAGATCCCTGTAGAAAAACAACTCACTAAATTCATCTCAAAGTATTGAAAAAAGATTAATATTTTCTTCAATGGTGTGAGATATAAAATACATCATCAAAACCATTTACCCCTGAAGCCAAGTGTTGCAGTTGTAAAAATAGAGATGAACAAGAATTTTGGTGAATTTTAATATTAAAGAGTTTTGGTGCACATAAATCAAAAAATAAACTACCACACTCATCAAACTTAAACCCAAAATCAGCTATCTTTTTAGATCACATTAAGCAAACATATTTCATGATTTTCTAATGTTAATGTAAAATCAACCATCCTCCATTTTTGTTTTTAAAAATTTAAAATCTTGATGATGGTCAAAGGTTGTTACCTTGGACTCCACATCCAGCATGGTTTTAGTAGTGACATTGTCACTCATGGCCTGTGTCATCTGCTGGAGGTGTTGGGAGATAATGGCGGATATACTGGGCCCTTCTTCTTCTTCATCCTCTGGGAAGTATCGCCCTGTTGGTAAAAATTTAATGAGTAATTTTAATAATCAATGCATATAATCACTTTCTTTACACTGTTGGATTTTAGTGCTATCAAAAAATATCAAAAACATTGATATGACATAAACTTGCAACATTTCTGTTTATCCTTTCTGAAGCTTATTAAGACTTAAAAAATTTATTTTTTTCTTCGCATGACTTCATGTATAATTTTCAAGTCACTTACAATTAGTATAGCTTAATTTATACAGATTGAAGAACAGTTGCTATTTTATCCCACCTGAAGAAACTTTTATATCTTAAGCGCTGCCAGACTTAAACAGTAACCTCACGTTTTCATTTTTTTCTTCCATATTATAATTCTATACGTTTGAAATGTAACTTAATTAAGTAGGAAAGACAGACATTGTAAAAAATTCCTTGCAGTCTATTTATGAGGACAAGCCAAACAACATTATCAATCTTCGCCAAATTTTTTTTTCAGCACATGCCCTTCGGGCAGGTGTGATCCCCAATTACGCAAGCCTGAACAAATATTTACATGCCAAGAATTTTATCAAGTTATAATATTATTCTTATTTGCCTATTCATGCCAAGGAAATGACCTGGAATCCATTTGTCTCGCCATATGTTTTCAACCTGTACACTTTTTGTGTCTCCTTTGCATAAGAGTTCCTTGAAAATCGCAGTAAAATAAGATTTTGGTTAAAAAATAAGATTTCCATTAAATTTTATTTTGAACTTTACTTTAGATGGAAAATAAAAGACTTTAAAGTACATTTAATGTTATTGGTATTATTTAATTTTATTATACCAAGGTTTATGCCTTAGAATTTACATGCCCTTCGGGCTTGTAAGTGTGCAACTTCCACATGCCCACTTCCAAGTTTACAATGTCCCGGGCATCGGACTCCAGGGATTTTTCGAAGACTGCATTATACATTTTTATATATAATAAAAGACACATAATGATTATTACTAACTCAGCACTCCCAGTTCGTTTTCGTTGAGCCCCTTGTTGTTGTTGACGGACTCGAACACGTCGTCGCCGTTGTCGGGGGGGGCGGGCGTTTTCTCCAGCTCCTCGATCTCGGAAATGTTGTCCTCCTGGTTCTCCTCGTCCTCTTTGATCGCCCTCAGTCCGCTCCTCTCAGGCGACGGAATCGCGATCGTCCCCGGCAGTCCTTGGTTGCCATCGTCGTCATCATCATATTCCACTATGTGAAAAAACAAAGAAAAATAATATAATTTCATAAATATTCTGCTTGTTATAATTGTTTCTTAGATTTAAAGAATTTTTTTTTCTTATTCAAAATTTCAGGCTAAGAGTTTTCATATTAATTCCTTTATTTTATTTTTCATACTTAGTTTTCATCAGCTTTATTTTCTCAAGTACATTTTTCTTTTTGCATAACTGGTAGTTTCAGTACAAATGGTAATTATACACTTGTTTTCTTTTATATAGGTAATTTCAATACAATGATACTTTATTTGTTGGTTTGGCTATCGATCAAAATTTCAGTACTATCATTACTTACATTTGTTGGCTACTTTCAATACTATCAGTACTTACATTTGTTGGTTTATTTCAGTACTATCAGTACTTACATTTGTTGGTTTATTTCAGTACTATCAGTACTTACATTTGTTGGCTACTTTCAATACTATCAGTACCCATACCGAAAAAAGTTATAACTAAGTTATAACTAAAGTATAACTTAGTTATACCTAGCCTGTGAGGTACAAAAAAGTTATAACTAAAATGTAACTTTTTTGGACTTTGTCATTTTCATGTATAACTAAAATGTAACTTTTTGGACTTAGCCATTTTCACGTGTAAGTAAAACATAACTTTTCTGGACTTTGTCATTTTCATGTATAACTAAAATGTAACTTTTTGGACTTAGCCATTTTCATGTATAACTAAAACATAACTTTTCTGGACTTTGTCATTTTCATGTATAACTAAAACATAACTTTTCTGAACTTAGCCATTTTCAAGCATTACCAGTATAAATTTACAAGATTTGGGGGTTATTTAATGGATACTACTTGACACCGACTTTTTTTTTTTCAAAAATAACATTATAACTAAGTGTTAATTTGAATGAATTTTGATCATGTTCAAAATGGTTTTTTTTTCAAACACTGCAGCAGAAAACTTTGTCAATTCCTGAACAATAATATTGTTTACTACCAGTGATCGACTTCTCATTCATAATAAATACGCTGTCCACAGCCATGTCAAGTTCAACAGAAGGGATGTGAAATAAAATCTTGTAAATTACATCTATAAATGAGAAACTCTCTCTCTCTCTCTCTCTCTCTCTCTCTCTCTCTCTCTCTCTCTCTCTGTGGTGTTTGAGGGTGTGTACGCAGTACATGTCATGTGTGTGTAATAAATATTATTGTCTATTTAAATTGATATTTGTCATGTAAGTTTCAACTAAAGTTGAGAATAATTAATTTCTCTCTCTCTTTCTCTCTCCTTCTCTCTCTCTTAGAAAATATGTATTTATTGAGACCCTGATGAGACATAATATTTGTCTTGTAAATAATAATAATGCACTTACATCTGAAGTTGGGAATGAATATATTTCATAATTCTGGGGAAATATAAATGTACTGCAAGAGATATAAACAGTATGAAATGTAATCTCATGAAGTCATGTGAATTTTGCACGGATTCTTCGTGTGCAAAACTGTGTAAATTTCCCTATTGTTTTCTGTGAGACAGGTGTTTGTACTAGGTGACCTTTGTGGCCAACACATCGTAAATATTTCAGCTTGGGTATTACACAATCTCTGAATGGTACAATTCTATACAGGTTGTTTGAAATCTGAAGAAAATCAGTCGTAATATGGGTGGCTAAAAAGATAAACAACAGCATAGAGTATGTGCATGTTCACGTTGAACAGATATTACGATGTTGTGAATAAAGACTGCCAGTTATATTAAGATTTAAGCAGATGACTAGTACATGTAGATTTTATTGTTTGCATAATTAAATAACCCAGTTATAATAGTTATTTTCACAAATAAACAAATATTAAATTCAAAATGGCGGCAACAAAAAATATGGCGGCCTCCGATGTCCGTTTTGTTGATACTAAGATAAATTCAAAATTTTAACACCAACTGGTATTTATATTTTTAATTTAAGTTTAAAATTAAACAATTAGGTTTATTTGCATATAAAATAAATCAATTATGAATTATTTATTTATTTTTTTCGATCACGTGACGTTTTTGAGCTCTATGATTGGTCAATAACAGAGCGCGGATTTTTCCATGGACGATTTGAATGTTTGGATGTTGAAAGTGTTGATAGAAAAAAAGGAGATAAAACCAGTTGGTAAGGCGATATTTATGCTAACATTTTATTATTTTTGGTAAAGTATACTTAGTACCTCTGGCATAACATTCCAAAAAGAAGAAATATTGGGAATGAACAAAATTCTAGGCGTGTGAATCTTAGATTTCTTGTTTGTTTTGATTGGTATGTCGAATGACAAAGACTGAAGTAAACAAATTGAAAGTATTTGAAACGCATAATATTTTTCAGCATTTAGTATATTAATCAAATATGTTGTTCTTTGTCATATTTATTCCCACAATTGTTTATAGATTCCCTGAACTGTTAAAATATTGTGAAGCCTTATACGCATCAGCATGATCATAACATGATCTAGCTGCAACGTTAATTAATGCAATGAAATGAGTAATTTAACATTAATTTTCTTTTTTTTTTTTGAAAGCAGAATATTGGTACATGATGTTTCCATGAGCTGAATCTGTCCTGACCTGCAGGAGTACATGAAATTCTTCAAAATATTACTTGTTTAAGGTAAAGTAAATTTTTTTTTCATTTCAAAATTCAATAAATCTTTCAATCTAAAACTGATTCCTGTAAGTATAGATCTTAAATTATTCTTGTATTTTCCATGTTTTGGATGAATTAATGAATTTGAATTAATTGATATGGAAGAGTGTTTTCAATTTGATATGCAAATGAGTGCTGGAAATATACTATCTAAATATCTATAATCTAAATTTTGAACCTTTACAATTTTTTGCAGAATTGAAGAAAAGGTTAAAATTGCAAGCATATTTCAATGAAAACTTAGCCGACTACCAGTCACACTGCCCGCCAGCCAAGACGTCTGACCAGCTAAAATGAGGGACGCAGACCACCAGCCAAGTCCCTCGGCCAGCTCGGCTGACCCAGTGCGGCCTGTCAAGGGATGACCAAGTCCATCAACTAGCTCGGCTGACTACCAGTGCAGCCTGTCAAGTCCTTCAACTAACTTGGCCTATTACCAGTGCGGCCTGTCATTGAACAACCAAGTCCATCAACTAGATTGGCTTACTACCAGAGCGGCTTTTCAAGGGATGGTCAAGTCCGTCAACTAACTTAACCTACTACCAGTGCCGCATGTCAAGAGATGGCCAAGTTCGTCAACTAGCTCGGCTTACTACCAGTACGGCCTGTCAATATAGGGACGGTTAAGACCGTTGACTAACTTGGCCTTCTACCAGTGTGGCTTGTCAAGGGACGGTTAAGTCCGTCAACTAACTTGACCAACTACAGATGCGACCTGTCAAGGGATGGCCAAGTCTGTCAACTATCTTGACCAACTACCAGTGCGGCCTGTCAAACGATGGCCAAGTCCTTCAACTAACTTGGCCTTCTACCAGTGTGGCCTGTCAAACGATGGCTAAGTCTGTCAGCTAACTTGGTCTACTACCAGTGCGGCCTGTCAAACGATGGCCAAGTCCTTCAACTAACTTGGTCTACTACCAGTGCGGCCTGTCAAACAATGGCTAAGTCTGTCAGCTAACTTGGTCTACTACCAGTGCGGCCTGTCAAACGATGGCTAAGTCTGTCAGCTGACTCAGCCAACTTTCAGTGCAGCCTATCTTCAAATAATAAAGATAAACAACTGTACACCTGCAAGGATACCTGTGCAAGGAGGGTGGTAGGCAGCTAGAAACTGTAACTGAAATCACTGTTTAGAACCTTTCTTTTTTTTGAAATACAGCTAGATCAAAAATAAATAGGGTGTTAATATTTAAAAATTAGTGATGTCTGTTTATACAATTAGCAAGAGTAGAATGCAGTTTGCTAGGTAATTTTACAAAGACCCTAATTGCTATATGCTAAAAATGTATTCTTTAAAACAACCAGAGAAATTTCAATCTTTTGTAGATGACATGATGAAAAAATAAGGTACACTTGAATTTTGAAAACAATTGCATGTGCATTCATTTAGTTGTATTTGACAATAAACCAAGCTATCTTTATCGTGTTTGTTAGGTAAAATTGTTATTGCCTTTAATATGTTTTAAATAATCTTTTTTGTATAAATTTCAAAAATCTTTTTTTTTTTTAAATTTTAATGAGTAGCTTTTTAAAAGCTTATAACTGAGTAAATCCACAACAGGTTAACATACAGTGTATAATTTCACTGGAACTTTTATGAAAGTTTTTATTAATAGGTATAACTTTTTATAGTTATAACTTTTTATAGTTATAACTTTTTGCAGTAATAACTTTTTTTAGGTATAACTTTTCTATAACTTTTTCATAACTTTCTTGGGGTATAACTTTTTTGTAACTTTTTCATAACTTTATAATAGGTATAACTTTTTTTAGTTATAACTTTTCCTGGGTATAACTTTTTGCGGGTATAACTTTTTTGTAACTTTTTCATAACTTTTTTGGGGTATAACTTTTTTGTAACTTTTCCACTGTTTATTTGGGTATAACTAAAGTATAACTTTGTAACTATTTTATAACTTTTTGTGTAACTTTTAATAAGTATAACTTTTTGTAGTTATAACTTTTTTATAACTTTTATGTACTTGCTGTATTTATGTTGAATAAAAGGTGAAAAGTTATGCAAAAGTTATAACTTTTTTGTAACTAAGTTATAACTAAATTATACCTCACTTAAAACATGCCATTCCAAACTCCGATAACTTAGTTATAACTTTTTTGTAACTTTTTTTAGTTACAAAAGTTATAACTAAGTTATAACTTTTTTCGGTATGGGTACTTACATTTGTTGGCCTTGTTCTCGCGGTACTTCCTGTACTTGTATTCATCACTGTCCTCGTCGTCAATCACAAGGTCCTCCTTCCTGGGTTTAGGGACACCAATGGTGCTTGTGGACAACCTGAATTATAAAATGCAGTTCTACAATACTTTTTTTAATCATTGCTTTAATTACAAAATTCTGTCCTTTCCAGAACAAATATGTATTCAAATCCAGTGTACATGTATTTAGGAAATATTTGTGGAAAAGCATTGGACAGTCATGTGTATTGTAAGAAATTTGCCAATCCTCTTTTATTTCTGAACATTGATTTGTTATCATAAAAAAATATTGCTTATATGCATCTGATTTCCATTCTTACACAAAGAAATGTTGATTTCATGAACAAAAATTGACATTTCCCTTAACTTTTATGCATCACCTTGCTCATACAAAAATTCATTAACTGAATCACATTTCAGATGTTAACAATGTATCCCCTTATATTCCCTTACTTATTATACTGAGCGAGGGTGTTGATGACGTCAATCAGCTGTCTGATCCTGTTACAGAAACTGTCCATGTGTGACATGATGGCGTCCTCGTCAGCGATCGACACGCCGTGACCAGCGTCATTAGTCATCAGCGATGATATCCCCTTCTTAGGAGACACGGACGGGCCCGATCTGGAGGCATTGCTTGGTTTGGATCTGAAATTAAAAGTTATTTTTCATCATACAGTTTAACTTGTCTTGCTTTCTTATAAGCATTTCCCATTTGAAATACAGCATGACACTTCAAGTGTAAAAATTAAATCAAACAGGTATTGAATTATCTGTACATGTACCAGTACAAATAAAACATAAGAATTCCATAAAGCCATTTAGTATACAATAATTCCCTAAAACCATTTACAATTAAACATATTTTATTAAAACAGTAATTAATGTCAATAATTAATCAGAAGAAAGAAGAATTAATTAGAAGAAGGACCTGGTGGTGAAGCTGCCTGGTCCCCCCACACTGCTGAGGGAGGGGAAGTGGGACATGTTGTTGGTCTGTCCCAGGGAGTCTCTAAGTGACCTCAGGGTCTCCCTGTAGTAGCCCTGCAGGGTCAGACACGCCTTCAGTCTCCCGTACAAACTGTCGTCCTGTAACCCCAGATCTTTACCTTCCTTTGTTTTTCCTCTCGTCAGGGCCCCTTGTTGCTGAAATAATTTAATTCAAAATTAAACAAATTTCTTGGTTTTTTCATGTACATATTTGTACAGCTGGTCTGCTCTGTTAAAATCAATTAAAAATAAAACTTTAACATTATTTAAATTTCAGGATCTCCTTTGACTTGTCACCTAATATTCTTGGAAATTCAATCAGCTCAAAACAGAAATATTTATGTACTTACCTGCATTTCAACAACATTAAAATTTATACAATATACAAGAAATAAATCAACACAACATTTAGTGCATTAAAATAGTATAAATATTACACATCAAAATAAAACATTACAATTTTTATGCTCACATTAAAAGATCTTCATTACTTAGAGTTTACCTTAATTTTAGCCTCTACTTGGTTCCTGAGCAGCCTCTGCTGGGGGTCCACGAGGGGCAGTGAGTCCCTGTTTCTGATCTCCTCCTTGATCCTGACCCACAGTTCGTCCCCATCGTAGGCCGTGATGGTACAGTTCTTAATGTACTCCTTACAAGCCAGCACCAGCTGATTGGTGATCTTGGTAAAAACGATACCCAGAAAACCGGTCCTGGCGTAATACCGGGAGATGGAATCCATCTGGCGCACGCTGTTGACGATGCCAGGGATGGCGTTGTTGATGATGGAGGCCGGTGTTGCATCCTGGTATAGCTGGTCGAAATGGCGTCTCAGAGATTCCAGGTATTTGACCTTGTCTTTGGTGTCATTCATCGCATCAGTGATCCTGTGATACAAACAGTAATTCTGTTAAATGTTTTTTGATGGAAAAGTTTGCAGGGGCAGCAGGAAATAATCTCAATTGTTTTAGTTTACATCCTTAATATTTATTGCTCTTAAAATGGTTGAATAAAAAGTCTGTTTAGAATGAAAACTTTATAAATTAAGTAAGTTAGCACCGATTGTAGAAGAGAAATTCATTTACATTTCTATCCACCTTAGAAATAACCAGCAATCAATAAGTTCAAAATATGATTGATAACAGAGAACAATGGTGCAGCTTTTACAAAATATTTGAATAATTACATTCAAATCACATTATTTAAAACTCAATTAGGACATAGTTTGAAAGTAAAGGGGTTCAAGACACTGACTGTAATCAAATTACATAAAGAAGCTTGAGACTTCCAATCCATGGTACTCCAGATAATTTGGGTAAATTTGTGATATATAAGTTTAGCTGCACTTACTGAGCATCCACATTTTTCCATTTCTTCAGCAGCCTGGATTTGGCAGTTATCAAGACACCAATCACAGCTTTGCATTCTTTACTTTTGAGCTGTTCTGTAATGCTGGTCAGTAACCGTTGACGCCGCCGCCATCTTTCCAACTCCGAGAGTGGCCCAGCATTTGGATCCATAAACCTAAAATAAACGCCACGAAAATTAATCATTTAAGATTTTTTTTTTTGTTTTCTTCAAGGTAAAAAAAATTATTATCATGAGGACTTTTATCCAAAAGTTCAATTTTTGTGTCCTCTCAAAATTGCTTTCTCTCCCTTTCTCTCGCTCAAGGCAATGTTGCATTGGATAAACAGTGACTGAGCAATATACAGTTTAAATTGGGTCTGAAATTATCATAAATTTTTTTAATCAACTTGAAATTCTTAATAGCTTTGGCATTTTTCTGTATTTATACAGTAAAACTCGGTTATAACGAAGTCACGGGGACCTGTGAAATTACTTCGCTACATCCATAATTCGTTATAACCGTATAAGAAATCATTAAATTTATATAGCTGGGGGTCCAAGATGACTTCGCTATATCCGTAAATTCGCAATATCCGTGTTCGTACTAACCGAGTTTTGCTGTATGGTGTTCTAAGGAAGAATACTTGCTACATTACTCTTATCTGTGGGTTTTATTAAGGGACTTAGTGTTAAAAATGAAATGCACAGGAGTCAAAATCTTAAAAACTGTGCTTCATGAATTTCACACAAGGTACTGTGCTACATGTACTAAATTTTTCACCGGAGAAAATTGATTCTGTCGGAATTTCTAAAATTTAAAGTCAGATTTTTTCAAAATTACAAAACTTTAATAAAACTACATTCTAAGATGCACAACACGAAAAAAAAAAAATAGAAGTCCTACTTTCTAAAAGACACTAACTTACATTAAATTTTCAAAAAAATTCTGAACATAAATGCTATGAAAATAATTGAGGATGCATGTATAACAATTCGTGGTTAAATTGGTAAAATGCATGCTTCAAAAACAGACATGACTTCTTTTAAACATATTGTGTTCCTACCAACAACATTCCAAATGGTGAAGCTAATATTATAAATGTTTGTTAGTTAAGACATTCCACAATAGGTTTTACCTTGGGTCAGACATCCTGAAAGGTCAAGGTCAACAATTCTCTTGTATTGGCCTAAACAACCTTTTCTCTACATGCATGTTGTGCAATAAATTATGTTCATCATAACATTTTAATTCATAAATAAAAATTGAATCATATATAATCTTAGATATTCCCTACATTTTAAACCTCTCCCCAACAAAATATACTACTTAGTTATCTTAATTGGCTTTGCATAGTGCCCTTTTTAAGATTGCCCCCCCCCCCCCCCTCCCTCTCTTTTTCCCCAAATGAAAGAATTGAATTTAGTTGAACAAAACCATGTATTAGTGACACAAACATTAGATTGCAATGTTTCCCCAACAAATTAAATTGGCATTACCTTTAATAGAACACATAAAATTTCTTCCATTTCACATTTTTCATTAATGAATGGTTAAAATCAATTGAATCACACACACTGATCAATAATTCTACACAATGTAATTGTAAGAAATATTAAACATAAGTACAAAGCTATTAACACTACTTTTTAATCAGATCATTATAAGATTTCTGATCACTGCATTTGACAAATTTTCTATTATTTTTCACCTATATGTTGGAGGTTCATCAGGAAAGACAACTGTCCTACAAATTGTAAGATTAGCAAATGAGTATCACTGAAAAAGATGCCAGTTTTACCCAATAAAATGTGTCCTAAAGAATAACTAAATTAATTTAGATAAGTAAGAAAAATCTCACTTATTAATAAGTAATTCAAATTCTAATTGAAATGTCAATTAAAAGTAACCAGATTGACTTCCTTGTACTCAGGATGAGTTTTGAATATAATTATCAGGGGCTGACAAATAGATTTTAAAGGCACTAGTCCAAGGGCAAGTACATGGTCAAAATTCACTTGCCCTACCTGAATTTTTGACTGCCCTACCATTAACTTATACTGTATTTATTAATATATAATTATATAAAAATACTGAGTAGAATATTGGAATACATATTGATTTTATTTTTGATAATTGATTAACACCCTTCCCCGCAGTCACGCATTTTAACGCATATACCATTTCTTATTTCTAACGCAAATCACGCATTTACCGTTTCCCCGCAATCACGCATTTTCACGCACTTTAAAAAGTTCATTTAATCTTCAATTTATAACCGAATTCCAACTATTTTATACTTGCTTGATCCTCATAAAATAAGAAAAGTTATTTTCTGATTAAAATATTATTTCAGAATATTATTTACGCTAAACTTTAGAAAAATTTGTACCCCGCTATAAACGGCTTGCGGGGAAATGGTAAAGTAATATTTCTATGAAGCGAGGATTCAGTGCATGTTGCAGAGGAATTCTGTAAGTTGTGAAGAGTTAAGTCACTTGCCCGTGTGGGCAAGTGGTTGATAAAATTACACTTGCCCAACCCTAAAATTCACTAGCCCCGGGTGTGGGGCAATGGCATTTGTCATCCCCTGAATTATATAAAGTTACAATTGAAGTACAAATAAATTCACAGTTACAGTTGTAACAGGAAAGGAGAAAAATGACCAGACAAGGATTTGAACCTGGGCCCCCTGAATCTCCAGTCAGGTGCTCTACTGACTGAGCTATCTGGCCACCTGCAATCCAACACATCTGACCACCACATTCCTCCCTCCTTAAGGGTCATCAGCCCCTGGCAGACTCTTCCCCGGCATTACTTTTCCTATGTCATTTCTCGAGAATGGCATCAAATGCAAAAGGAGGGAGAAGCAAACCCAGTCTAGTCGTCTCAGTTTTCCCAGTTACATTTGGTGTCATTGGCAGTAAGATTCCTGCCATGGGTAATAAGAACTTGTTTTCTGTCTTTGAGGGGAAGACAATTTAAGAAGGTAGGAATGTATTGATTTGGGCCATGTAGGTTGGGTAGACCAGTTGCTAGAGCACCTAGCTGTAAATTCAGGGGGCCTGGGTTCGAATCGCAGTCTAGTACGTCACATTTTCCTTCTCTCCTATTACACAGTCCGAAATTGTAATTTATGTGTAGTCGTATAGCTATATTTTCAAACTCTATTAATACTTCAAGACAACAGAATTTATTTTTGAATGAATTAGTTTTATAACTGTTAATTGCAATAATATTTGTGATAGGGTAAACAAGGAGAGAGTCAAAGTGACACAGAAATGAATGGGAGATACATGTTCTTACAAGACAGTTAAACATCATAATAAAATTAAATACACCCAAAGAATTTGTCATTAAATATGTGATGAAAAAACTGAGAAATAATTCAAAAATGATGTGAAATTAATTCATTGATAAAGCAACTTGTAATTTACAGATCACGAGACTGTGTTGTATAGATGATGTAGAATTAGTCGTACCTTTCGTCTGACGTGTCGTTCAGCATTGTCTCTATAGTGTTTATCCAGTCTGTTACCAGCTCTTCGTACTGACCAATCAGCTGTACATCCAGGGCGGCCGCCCGGTGCTGCTTGAAGTCATTCAGGACAATGTTTTCTGGCTGTTTCAGCATCTGTCATGGATTAAATTGTAAAAATTCTAAATATCTTCTGTGCTCAAATTTATTTTTTCAAATTCCAACAATAATCTTTTTTCTACTTCATTTAGTTATGCTGAATTTTGTCTACATATGCAATAGTCAATACATAATTTTTCTTATGTAATATATCTGTATTTTCCAACAACAATGATAAAAATAAATTCAATTTCATATGGGCATTATTCATCATTTCATTTTTTTGGTAAATGTCATAAAAGCACTCAATATTCAAGCCTTGTTTTACCGGTACAAATAAAAATTATGCAAAAAATGCCACATTAACCCCCATTACCAGCTGCTTTGAGTGATGCATGGAAGCCGTGGACTCATTCAGGGCCGTCAGAAACTTGTCCATGCTGTGACTCAGGTTGGTCTGCCCCTCCATATTACACTCCCCCCATTCCTTCTGGGCCTTAATCAGGGGGTTATACACGTCAGAAAGAAGGGTGACCAGCGTCTCAATCGTATTGTGCTTGAGCTCGCCACAGAAAATATCTCTCTCATACCGTACCGTATCAACATCTTTATCTACTCTATTTCTCAAGAAATACAAAATATTGACTTTATCTAAATCTACATCTTTCAGTGCGGCTAGCGTTCCCGTAACATTGAGTTCTCTGGTAGACAAGGCGCCAGTTTCGGCTTTTGCGCAGGTAAAAAACAACCTGCATGGACCACCTGCTTTCAAAAAACGGTTGATTTTATTCAATGTGGTCTCTTCGGTCATAAAATCCTCGAGCAATGTTGGATTGTCATATCCTCCAATTCTGAAGGTTTCCTGGATTTTACCAGCAATCCACCAATGTCTTTCATCCATTTTGTATCTTTCAGGGTATGCAGTTTAGCGATTAATCGGTGTCATAACTTCGGTAAAGAACGCGGGTGCTTACCGAATGAACGCCGCCATACTGATTGTTGTTGGTTACGAGTAACCCGGATGAAGCACCTTGCTGAATTCATTGTCATTAACACGCTTATTTTATTCATTTAGGTCGTATCAAAACCTAAAATGTAAAAAAAAAAAAAAAAAAAATGGGTTCTTTTTTTCCATGTGAAACTTTAAATATGCAAAGTCCCTCTCGTCTAAACATAAATAACACAATTTTTTTGTCTTTGCATCTCCTCATTAAATTACGTGATTTGAATTAAATTTTCCCATGTTGAATATCTAGCTCAGCAGACTCTCAACAGGAATTATATTCTAGCTTGAAAGAAATATAGATCGAGCCATTGACCAACTACAGAGTACAGTGCGATTTTGTCAGTTTCCTTTCATGTTCTCAACTTTTGTCCTCTTTTGACATTTTTTCGGTTATAATTAACATGATTAATTAATTTGATTATGAATTACATTTTTAAAATTATGTTTTAGATATATTGCGGTAAAGTCCTTGATTCAATTAAGTTTGATATATAATGGAAGCATTTTTAAACAAAAGACATCTTCATATAATTTTTGTCTAACATCGCAGGCACGTACAGGGGTGGCTGCCCCCTCCTCTCCCCCTCTTTTTTTTCCCAACATTACCTTAAAATGTCCATTAAAAGGATGGTTGACCCCCAACTTCTTACCACAGTATAGTGATATCAAGGAAATAAAATATTAAATGCAAAAAACTGAAGTAAAAGGAATTAAGTTGGGACTGAAAAAAGTTGGCCAGTACCCCCCCCCCCCCCCACTTTCAAAAACGATGCTACGTGCCTGCATCGCATAAAATTCCGACCGGTAATTCAAAATTAGACTTCATAACACCCCAAAGAAAAAAAAAGATAGGGCGGCACGTTTACCTCTTAATCTTTTCTGCATGTACATGTATGTTTTTGATGATCTAGTTATTCTGTTTCATTAATTATCGTGGCCTTCATTATACCCCCCGCTTGAAAAAAGCGGTAGGTTATATAGATATCGCCATGTCCGTCCGTCTGTCTGTTACGCTTTTTGGTACCCGGCCATCTCTAATCTGCAACTCCTCTCATACCACTGCATGAAATTTGATGAAACTTTTCACAGAATCTTTATCACGGTACATATTGCCATTGTTTCCTCCTATTTTACTTTTTAATCTGACACGTCTTTTGGGTTTCCCACAACAAAACATGGACACGGGGGTATCATTAAGTGAATTCAATGCTCGCAGTACCTTTAGATTTTTTCCTAACTTTAACTATTTTTAAATTACATTGTCATATGAATGAGGGTGGAATTAATGGATTCAAATCCAATCCTTTGAGCCAAACAAATAAATAAATAAATAAAGTTTTTACAAAAAAAAAAAAAAAAAAGAATATCTATGAAGAACAGAATTCTAGTTATTCCATTTTTCTAGGCTAATTCTTCAAGATTCTGTTTAAAAATTAATGATTATAGTCACGAAAAACTTCCCTAATATTTCATAACCAACCACATTTGGTTTTAATTTCTGTAAAAAAAAAAAAAAAAAAAAAAAAAAAAACCATGCTTCAGGAGAGGATATACTCCACCCTGACTCCTCCTACAAGCACCGCGTAGACTCTGAATTCAATATATAGAAAATACATTAGGTTCTAAATATAACGAAGCTGCGGGTACCGCGAAGCTGCTATTATTTTTTTTTCCATACTTCTGAGTTATTCTCATTATTTTTTGTAGAACTTTTCAAAAAAGAAATGTTTAGTCTTTATATTTTTTGTTTAAGATATCTTTTTTATATCAGGGTGTAACAAACTATTACATAGCCAATTAAAGATGAAGCCATAAATGAAAAATTATACATATATATACATTGGCATCGGAAGCAATTTGAAATTAAGGGGTGGTGTGGGCCGAGGGTGGGGGGGGGGGGGGGGTTGGTAATTGACAGAGTGAAAATTCAAACCTGAAAAAACTTGACAAGCAATAAAAGTAAAATTAAAAAACATGTTTCTTGTGTAAGGGCGTGTATGTGTTGGGGGGGGGGGGGGGGGGGGGGGGGGGGGGGGGGTTACGATCGTACTTCTTTCACTACCAACTTTTTCAGGCACTACCACTTTACCACTTGATGGGGGGGGGGGGGGGTTAAACATAGTTAACATACGCCCCAATGTTCAATGCCTATGTAATTACTAGTATCTCTATCTTTGCCTTAAAAAGCGGGAAGGTATATATAGTAATCGGAATGTCCGTCCGTCTAGCTATACGTAATGCCTATTTTACTTTATGATGAGACACACATTTTTGGTTTCCCATTGCAATTTAGACATGGACACTGCCATTATATGGGAAGCGGGGGTGGGGGGAGAAAGATCATTTAGTGAGCTTGATTATTGCTCACTTACCTCTAGTTTCGCTCATATTCATTGTCACCCTATGTAGAACAAATTCAAAGCATTTCATGTGTGTTAAAATCTCAAAATATAGGCAAACATGTGCTTCATATTTTCAGAGGGGAAAATATATTACATACATTTGATGAAAGGGATATAGAGATGAAAGATTTTCATACCCCCCCCCCCCTTGAAAAGTGGGAGGCCAGGGTATATACCGGTAGTTATCAGGATTTCCTTTTGTCTGTTTGTTAGTACGCTTTCTTATCTGCAACTCCTTTTATATCTCTGCTCTGAATGAATCTTAATGAAACTTTCACAGAATCTTTATATTACATTTCGCCATTCTGACCTCCTACTCTACCTTTTTGATCGGACACATATTTTGTGTTTGAACTTTCCTATTGCAAAACATGGAAACTGTCATTCTTTCTGTATAACAACCTCTTGTCTGCAACTCCTCCTATGCAAGTCTGAATAAAAATACACTGCTTTCAGAGATTCTTTATAACATAATGCCATCTTACACCTCTATTTTTTTTATCCGACACTTATTTCGTGTATCCAAGGACAAACATGGACTTTGCCATTAAATGGTATGGGAGGCGAAGGTATCATTTATTTTTTGTTGGATTGAATTGCAAGCAATACAGTACTGAAGTTCAATGCCAATTAAAATGACTGCTGATTAAGTAGAACGATTTTTTAAAAATATATTTATTTTGATCAGATTTAAACAATTCAATGAACATTTTTTTTGACATTATAAAAAACATATTTTTTTGACTTGTCACACTACTGATTTATTAACATTTATTAGCATTTATTATATACACATTATACATTAGTATTTGGACTGGTACAATGGATAAAAGTCATAAAACCCTCTTTTTATCGTCAAGCATAGATACACAGTAGATTATTATTATGCATATATACATGATAGTTTTGCATTTATAGTTAATTTAATGCTGGTATCATTTAAATTATTTACAAATGTAATTAGAATCATGTTATAATGTTTAAATTAGATATGAATTGGATACAAAACAACAAAACATGATGACTATTAGCACCATTGACATTCTTCTTTTTATAAAAAAAGAAGTTGAATTTAACACATCTTTTTGACATAAGAATCACTGTAGATACTTGTACACTGTCAGTGTGTTTGTGTTATATTGTCCTACATAGAGATTGTTCTCATCATCCACACACACACTACAGGGACTGTATACCCCTTGTTTTGGTGTGAGTAATAGAGACAAGAACTGACCGTCCTGATCAAGGAGGTGAACAGTGTTACTGATTAAATCACACACCAGGATGTGACCGAGGACATCAGTACAGATTCCATATGGACGGAACATTGACTCCTGACCTTTGTAGGAGAACCTGTGTTGTCCTGATTTATTCACCACCACTACTGCCCTTTTATCATAGTCTGATGTACAGATATCTCCATTGATGTTTTCTGTGATATAGTGTGGTAAAGTACTATACAGTCTTTGTCCTTTGTTATCCCTCTGTATGTTCTGTAGTTCTTTTCCTGTCTTGTTGTACCTGGTGACTCTAAACATCATCCCCACCAGTAATTCCCCGTTGATGTGGGAGGAGTGTATGCTGTATGGTGTCCAGTTTCCAGTTTTAATGAATTCAGTGATTTTATTATCCTGTGTTATCCTATTGATGACGTTCTTGTCATAGTCTGTAAAGATCAGACCCCTGTCCTGTGTGACTGTGTGGTAACCATGTCCATCACTGGTTTTTATCTTCTGTATCACATTCCCTTGTAGATCTGTTTGGACAAGATTACCAAGTCTGTCACTGATCCAGAGTCTGTCTGATTGATCTAGTGATACATGGAATACACGATCAACACCTGGTACATAGCACTCCCTGACCTTGGTGACAGAGCCAGATAGAGACATTGTTTGTTTCTTGTCAGATTTCTTTCTGTTTTCTTTCATCTGTTTATGTGTAGGTTTCATTGCTGTATTGTAGACACTTTCAATGGGCCTTATTTCTCTCTTCTCAGCTTTAGTGTTGGGGACCTGTATTTTACCAAGTAACTTGGTGACATCACTTTTGCTGTATTGACCAGCAGTAAATTCTGGTTTGACTGGTTTTGATGTCTCTGGTATGGATCGGATCTTTGGTTTCTTCTCAGACATTAATTTCTGGGTTTCTGTAGAGGACAGGCATCTGTGGAGCTCTTTGACAAGGTTATTGAGATAAGTGATGTAATTATCCATGGTCTTGTCTTGAGTGTTTAGATCTTCTAACAGTGAATGCTCTATCTGGTCTAACTGCTTCATGTTCTCAGATATGACTGTATCCACCAGACTTTTCAGGGACTCACCTTCAGTCTTCATGGATGTTCTGATGTTGTCCATGATGTGTTTGATTTCTGAGGAATCTTTTTTAATTTCTTTCTGTAAATCTTGAGATGTAGGGAGAAAGTAGTCTTGTATCTTGGCAATATCCTCTTGAAAGTCTGCATATTTTTCTGCATAAATTGTCTCTAGATCAGTGAATATATGCCCTCGGTGCTCTTTTTGAGTGACGCATTTGGAACATACTGGAACTTGGCATTCTTCACAGAGCATTTCCACATCTTTATTAGGGTGGATCTTGCATTTCTCCACAGGAAGTTGTCGTTTACGTTGCTGGTAAAGGACCACCTCATGGTTCTTGTTTTCTGGACTTTTCAGATGTTCATCTCTGCATTGTTTACACAATCTTTGATGACAAGAGTTGCAATAGAACTCACAGTTTCTTTCACATTCTTCAATGCCACACTCTAAAAAGTGTTGGGCTCTGTGGGGAATATCCATTTTAGAAAAAGCCATCTAAAAAGATAAAAAATACCCTATAATTCTAAAAATGTTTTCCAAGAGCATGTTTAGTTAATATAAAAGCAGCATTGACACGTAACCAGTAGAAATGTATGTATATATCACACATGTATCTAATTATAAATTATTTATACAACATATCAGTTACATCTTAACTCTTGTTTATATAGCCACATTTGCATTTCAATGTACTTAATATAAGAAATGAAATGTTTGTTTTTATTTTAAAATTGATACTTACAGTTTTTTCTGAAGCTGAAACCCTTTCTTATAAACTATAACTTTGATTGCAGACTTTGGAATGTCAGAATGACGAGACTTGAACGAGATCTGTTATTTACTTCCTGGTTGGTGATAAATATAGATTTAAATACTCGACACCATGGGCACAGACAGAGTGTGCGTATCTGCATTTACATGAATTCTATGTTGAAACAAAAATCCTTCATATAGGATTAGAATTTATCTGTTATAACATAGCAAACGCACTACCGATCTCACTTTATATATATATTTAAGGGGGGCGTACCCGGTGTAACGACGAAAAGTGACCCCCGTAGAATATTGACCGGGGGTCATTTTTATACGTAGAAATTTGCCCCCCTGGTCAATATTCTAGGTAGAAAAGTGAACCACTTTTCTGTAGAAATTATGGCCTTGGGGTCGTTTTTCACCGTGTGCATTGTAGAAAAATGACCCCGTAGAATAATGATCCCTTGTCATTTTTTGGATGCAAAAAAATTCGTTTAGGTAGGAATATTCTTGTTAGGCGAATGTATACGGGTAATATCAAGCAACCTTATGCTTTGAGGTGTAAATTTCTGAAAGCTTTTAAGCTTAAATAATGAAATCAGAGCTATATAATACCATACAATAATACAACCGTTTTATCCTCATTAAAAAAGAAAAACAATATCTATTAAAATGTTCTAAGGCTATAAGAGCAAAGATACGCGCATTCAAATAATCGTTTACATTATATACAGTAAGTTACCACAGTTGTCAATTTTTTAAAAAGTCTTTTTCATTTCTCGCAGGTGTCAAAAAAGTTTCCAGAATCGATTAATTATAAATCTCTTTGATTTTTTCAAATGTTTAACGTTTTTGATCCGTACTTTTAAAACGGGTGCAAAAAAGGGCGCTAGCTAAGAAAATTAGATCTTATAAAATATTTAGTTTTCTATGAATGAAGTTTCAAACTTCTCATAAAAAATAGGGATGGTATAATTTGTCAAAATGAGTACTAAATTAAATTGCCGCTAACCTATGATACAAAGGAAAGAAAAAAACCTTAACAAAATGGGGGTTACAGCATAAAAGAAAATTAACTATAAAAAAAGAAGTGCTCGTCTTTCCAAAAATTGGCACATGTAGTAACGTTTTCCCCGTTCTACATGTACTTACATGTGATGATTTTAGGAGTTTTTTTTACCAATAAAAATAAAAAAACAAATTATGGATTATGAAAAAGTTGTTACTTTACGTATTATACTTATGCCCCGTAAACGAAGTTTCGGGGGTATGTGTTTTTTTACCTGGCCGTCCGTCTATCTGCTTGTCTATTTGTCCACAAAAACTTAAACCTTGCCCATAACTTTAAAATGAGGCTATGGCTTTCATATTTCTTGTTTATGTGACAAAATTTTTTTGTGTACAACCAATTTTGACCTTGACCTTGGAGTTTGACACACTTTTACACAAAAATTCCAAACTTTTACTTTGGCATTAACTTTTGGACGGTATGCGCTAGGACTTTAGATATCGAAGTGATGGCATGATAAACTACGAGTTCATTTGTATTTGCAAAACTAGTGTCTAAAATCTCAGAAGAAAGGGGATGTTACAGCAACCATTTGTCAGGTGTCTGGGCTAATAAATAGTTGGAAAGAAAAAATTTGTTTTTTTTTATTTATAGATATCTCTGAGGGTTTAACTATTATTCACGCAGATATAAATTTTTGCCAGTTTTGGAGGTTTTTCTTAATATCATTATATGAACGTTCTCGATGTGTATGGTACTTCCCGAATATAATGGAAAAAGTATAGTACCTTATTGTACCTTAAATATAATGTAGTTAAAAAGTATGTATTTTAAAGCAGAATGCACAGGCACGTAGCAACAGGGGGGGGGGGGGGGGGCAGGGGGCCTGCGCCTTTTTTTCCCAACATTACTTTTACTATTGGAAATGTTCAGTGAAAGGCTGGTTGGTCCCCACTTTATATTAGAGGAAATTCGTAAGGGAAATGCAGTGTTGAATAGCAAAAATTGGAAAAAAAATTGTTGCCCTTACCCACCCCCACCCACCCATCCACGAAATAGGATTTTCGAGAGATTTGGGCAATTTTTTTCTTTTCTTTTTTTTTCGCTTCTCAACTTTTTCAAGTAAGTAAAAAAAATTTCTCTGGCTGGCCCCCACTTTCAAAAACGATGCTACGTGGCTGATGCATACAGATGTATATATAAGTTTAAAGGTAAGAGCTAATGGAACGGAATTTATATAGTTAAATTACGTTGCTTTTCTTGCCTCTACGCTATGTTTTTGGATTTGTAAAATTTTTCAAAGTTTATGGTTATCCGTAACATATCATGCCATTTTCGGAACAAAACCTTTGAATGATGAAAAACAACCAAAATCTAATCATGAATTAATCGAATTTATGCTCCTCAATGAAGAAGGATATGGATATCACGAACAGTATTCAGTATCAAAGTCCATAAAACAATACAAAATAGGAGCAGAACAAACACGGACCTCCTAAATATCAGAGGCGGGAACAGGTGCCATGGAGGAGTGAGCATCTCCTGCTGATCGGTCACACCCGTCGTATGCTCCTTGTCATGATCGGGAAATAACGGAAAATCTGTTTTCAATTCAGTGTATCTATAATGGACTAACAATTGGTATGAAAAACGTCAGTCAGCATTTGACTCAATGATAAATTTTATTTGCTGACAAGGTCATTGTATCGACCATAGAACTTACGAAATGATGACTTTAGAAGAGACTGCTGATATTCTTGTTTCATCAACTTGCTTGCCAATAGTTTACCTCGTTTTAGAAATTGCTCATACGTAGCGCATGATCTTGCGTATCGAATCAACTGAGATTTATAAACTCCATATGCAAGAGATAAAGGTATAATGCTTCATAAGAGAAGTTGATGATAGAAAAGTTAAAGTCATCACGTTTATCATATAGCTTGGTTGTTAAATCACTATTAATGGTTTTATCAAGTAAAATATCAAAGTATGAAACAGAAATATCAGACTCTGTAGTATCCTTTATCTCAAGCTCACCAGGATATATCGTATCGACGTAGGAATGGAAGTTGCCATTGTTAATTGACAATACGTCGTCGATATATCAACATGTTGAATTGAATGCCACAGCAAGTGTTTTCTTCTTTTCACGCATAAGATTTTGCATAAATTTTGTTTCATATGAATACAAAAACAGGTCTGCTAATAAGGGAGCGCAATTGGAACCCATAGGAATTCCAAAAGATTGCTGGGAGACCTGGTCTCCAAATACCACATAGATATTGTAGATCAGAAACTCAAGCATCTTTTTGATGTTAACTTCAGAGTATTTGTGTGTGCATGGAATCAGAATGTGTTTTAACAAAATAATTTTGCAAATGACCAATGACCAGGTGAATAAATTTACGAGTTCAGCTGTCAATGATATCAAAAAGCCTGGATTTTAATTTGTCGCGGGGAATGGTTGTGTATAAACTTGAAAATCGTAAGTTTTTAAGCTGCTGATTTTGGAAAAATCTTGTGATTTCAAATTGTCCAAAAGTTCTTCGGAATTTTTGAGTATCCACATCTGATTCACACCACTTCTTGAATATATTATTGCACAGTACTCTTGAAATTCTGCAAGCCAAAAATAAATCCATACCAGATACATTGATTGTGTTGCTACTATTAAGATAGTTTATGCAATCAAATATATGTTGGAAAGTTTTTAAGTACTCCTACTTACATTTGAAAGTATGAAAAATATCAGGAGACACAGATATAAGGGTTTATAGTATAAAAAAGCAAGGGGTCAAATTTCTATGGGGGTCATTTTTCAACGTGTGTGCGGTCGTAGAATTAAAGGTCTGGAATGTTTTTCTACAGTCGAAAATTGACCCTGCTTGTCGTAGAATAGGGTCATTTTTCAATGTAGAAAAATGTAGAAAAATGACCCCCTGGACAATTATTCTACGGGGGTCACTTTTCGTCGTTACACCGGCGTGCGCCCCCTAAAATAAAAAAAAAAGTTAGCGTAAATCACAGTTTCATCTAGAAAATGTAAATAAGTCTACTCGGTAGACCTCATTTTTAGCCTATGAAATCTCTAGAATGCATGAGCTTCCGGGGGCTTCGCCTCTATCATCCACGAACCAATATTATCAACTTTAAATTAGCCTTTTCTCTTATTTTTTACTCACTGTAAAAGATTTTCCAAGGAAGCCCCCTTAAAAAAATCTTTGTACATCTATTTATTGCAGGTAAAAACTTAATTTAACAATATAATTTTCTCTTACTCTCGATCTTTATACGAGGGTCATTCAAAAAATACGTAGACAATGCTTCTCATCGTCATATAATTATTACAAGATTATTGATCAGCACATTTTCGTAACCATAAACATTTAATTTGTTGAAGTGTGAAGTTTCATTCCATTTGATTAAATAGAACTCATATTAGCCAAATTTTAAACCAACATATTTTGTTACCACGGAGCACGGTTAACCAACATTGTAACGTCAAAGACAACGTTGAGAAAGTTTGTCAAAATTATACATTTTTTTTAAAATTTCAAACACGGTTTGTAGCGTCTTCTCCATTCAAAATAACATATCCATAACACTTAACACCTAGTTTGCGAACAATTGTACAAATATAGCTTGAATAGGAATGTCATTGTTTTCAAATTCTTTAATTTACCATATAACTCTATTAATTCTGCAACAGTGAAGCACACATCACGTTCAATGACGTTCTTACTCTTTTGACAATATCTTTAACTTTAACCTGTTTCTTTGCAGACACTCCATTGTCCGATTCAAACTCGTTACCACTTAAAAATTGTATTTTCCATTTAATACAAATACACAGATTATTTTTCATACAGATCCTGGTTTATACGGATTTTTTAAGCTTGTAGAAGAAGTTTCCCGAATGTAAAGTACAATTTTATTGCTACTTGCTGCTCCGTGACGTCCTCAAACGTCATAGTTTTTTTGCTTTTTTAATCAAGTCCATATGTATTTAGAAACTGATATCTTTTAAATGGAGCGAGATATTACATAACCTGATTTCTTTTTAATTAATACA